GTAACCTGTGTCACAGTCTTTTGGGTATATCCCCAAGAGTGGTATTGCTGGATCAAATGGTAGATCGATGTCTAGCTTTTTAAGTAGCCTCCAAATTTTTTTCCCGAGTGGTTGTACTAGTTTACATTCCCACCAGCAGTGTAAGAGGGTTCCTTTTTCCCCGAATCCTCACCAACACCTGTTGTTGGTGGTGTTGCTGATGATGGCTATTCTAACAGGGGTGAGGTGGAATCTTAGTGTGGTTTTAATTTGCATTTCCTTTATGGCTAGAAATGGTGAGCATTTTTTCATGTGTTTTTTGGCCATTTGAATTTCTTCTTTTGAAAAATTTCTGTTTAGTTCACTGCCCATTTCTTTATTGGTTCATTAGTTTTGGGAGAATTTAGTTTTTTAAGTTCCCTGTATATTCTGGTTATCAGTCCTTTGTCTGATGTATAGTTGGCAAATATTTTCTCCCACTCTGTGGGTGTTCTCTTCAGTTTAGAGACCATTTCTTTTGATGAACAGAAGCTTTTTAGCTTTATGAGGTCCCATTTATCTTTGCTATCTCTTAGTTACTGTGCTGCTGGGGTTTCATTGAGAAAGTTCTTACCTATACCTACTAACTCCAGAGTATTTCCTACTCTTTCCTGTATTGACTGTAGAGTTTAGGGTCTGATATTAAGATCCTTGATCCACTTTGAGTTAATCTTGGTATAGGGTGATATACATGGATCTAGTTTCAGTTTTTTGCAGACTGCTAACCAGTTTTCCCAGCAGTTTTTGTTGAAGAGGCTGCTGTTTCTCCATCGTATATTTTTAGCTCCTTTGTCAAAGATAAGTTGGTTATAGTTGTGTGGCTTCATATCTGGGTCCTCTATTCTGTTCCACTGGTCTTCATGTCTGTTTTTGTGCCAGTACCATGCTGTTTTTATTGTTATTGCTTTGTAATATAGTTTGAAGTCAGGTATTGTGATACCTCCTGCATTGTTCTTTTGACTGAGTATTGCCTTGGCTCTTCGGAAAGCCATTCTTGAGGGTCCTTCCATCTGCAGGCTCCTATTCTCTGGAGTCCCAGGGAGGAGAAGAGGCTGTGTTTGCTCTGGGTTACCTGTACTATAGAGAGCAGCCATTTTCAGGCCACATGTGCCCAGCTGGCTCCATTTGATAAAGCAACAGTTTTGACTTGAGTTACTGCATTTTGAGCGTAAGTGCCAAGATAAAATGACTCCACATCTTGTTTATACAAGTAAACAACTACCATCTGCCAGTATACCATAAGGCACAAATTGGTAATTTTTGTGCCACTAATAATTAATATGTAACTATGCCAGACCATATCAGAAACCCATCAGTCTCACCAGATGTAGCCCCCTCATCTAGGGCTATAAAAGGAGGAGCATCCCAAGACTGAGACATGGCAGGCATGCTGACCTCTAACCCGAGGCTCATCACAGGCCTCATTCAGGAAAATTTCCAAAGCAAAGGACCTCTGTCTTTATCCCCAGGCAACCACTTGAGTGCAGATTCTCCTGCCCCTGACACACAGACCACTTCAAATGAAGTCAAAATGGCCTGCCGCATGGGCCTTGTGTTTGATGACTGTACCTTGAACAGCTCTGTACCTGGGACTCAGTACTTCTTATCTGGTTCCCTACAGAGACTTTTCCTTGTGTCTATATCAGATCTCTGCCTATGTCTCCAGCACGGCCCTCTGAACCCTGCAACCTCTTTAAACCTTTCTTAGCCATAACCTCTGTGTTGTTGTTGTGTGATCTGATCTGAGGGTTAATATTAGTAATTAAGATCAGAATAAAAGAACTTGTGTTGCCAATGACCTTGGCTATCAAATGAACTTAGTAGTACTTATAAGTTAAAGTCAACGAAATTGGTAAGTATAGATTTATTTTTATTCAATAAATTCTGACATTGGGAAAAAACACAAGTATATTCGTGTATGTTTCTGACGTAGCTTGCTCATAACAACCAGCCTTCCTGAGCTTCTGGCACCTGAGCCCCATCCAGGGACAACTCGTGCTTCAGCATCAGTCAGAGCCACCCAGCCTGGCACCTGGCATGTCCTGCGTTTGAGCCAGGAAGGGTTTTCTGCTTTATTGGTGGTGCTCCTTGAGCTCCCTTCTACCATGTTTCCCCAGGGCTATATGCTGCTGCTTGGGAGCATAGGAAGTTTGGTTTATTTGGGCCTGTCACCGTCTCATGACGTGTGCTGTTCGTTTGTAGTCTGCTACTAATCTGGGTCATTAGGAATTAGCTAACTCGTCTCATGCTCAAAATAGATTGTGCTGCCAGGATCCAAAGCCAAATGCTGCAAATCACTGCAGATATGCTGTGAGTGTCTCCATTTCTTAACACTTTCTTTCCTGTCCTGTAGCCTATTTGGGGAACAGAATCCACACACAGACACTCTCAGAAAGAGGTGGTGTGCTGAATGTCCTGCAGGGGCCACATGGCTTGTACCAGAAAGTTCTTGCATTATGTAGTCCTTTGACACAGAGCACTGGGTGTAAAGGGGCATGGATGGTCCCTAAGGTTCAGCGGAGCTACACTGCCTCTGTATGTACTGTCCTGTCCCAAGGACAGGATTCCCTGAGAGGCACATGCAGGGCTACAGCCTCAACATGTCATTGGAGCCTCATATATGGATCAGAATGGCCTCAGTGTTCCTACTTGAAAAATGGGAAGCTAGAGCAGACAGCTCTTGAAGTCACTTCTGTGTCTGAAGCATCCAGTGGCTAACATAGGGAAACTTCCTGGCTGTAATGTTGTCTGCATGTGGGACCCTCTCAAACATTTGGAGACCACTCTTGTGTCCTCCTCTCTCACCACCTACATCCTCCTGATTCCTTCTTGTTGTGAGACTTTGAGGGACTCCTTCAGCCAGCTCTTCACTCCACTGCTCCAGGTGGTTGTGTCCTCATCGTAGCATCCTGACACCTTCGCCTGCCCTTTGTGTGCTATGTCATGTCTGTCACTGTTGTCCTTCTCAGTCAGGCACAGACCGCAGTCGCTAAGCAAATTGAGTGGCTCCGGCAATTAGAAACACTTCTTACATGCTTGCTTCTGGATGCTGCTGTGTCTTAGGCCAGGGGTGTGCTGTGCCTGTGCCTAGCTGAGAGGGATCGAGAAACCTGCCATTTACCCTTTATTACTGGGGTGTGTGACACAGAGCAGTTTGGGGTTCACTGGGAATGCAGCCAGCACAAGTCACTTGGTGTTTGGATCTCAAGCTTACCTGTGTGTGTCCCCAAGTAGGGTAGGGCTTACCTGTGCAGGAGCAGGACTGACAGCCAGGAAGGAGTTCCTTTCCAGCTGGGCATGCAGGAGGATGCCTGCTGTCTTTGGAATTTATACGCAGGCATATATGGAAGTCTCAGCAGTGACTCCCATATGTTCATATTCGAGCTTGCTGACCATGGCTAAGGTACTCTCATGAGCTTTTGGGATAGCAGCAAGGTGGCAAACCAGGTCAGGATGAAAGCTGGGAGGGGGATGGACCCTGGAGGATGGGCCGTTGTGGCTGAAGTAGCAAAGGGCTGGCCTTGTTCTTTTGCTACTCACCAAAGCAGGAGGGTGAGAGTGAGGCCTGCAGACAGGAGGCCAGGGCATGGCTGATCCAGGTGTGGCTTCTTCAGACATCCCTCCTTTGACTTGGTCTCTGCTGTCACAGAGGAGACAGGGATGGGCAGGCCTGAACCTGAAGCCCAAGAACTGTAGAGTGGCCTTGGACTCCTGAGGGGGAGCCTCAGTACTTCCTGTTTAGGGCTTGATGTCCATTGATCCAGATGATGTGGGGCAGTGGGGCTGCCTCCTCCATCATGGCTCCTCGACCCCTGGGAAAGCCCATGGAGGTGGGTTCCATGCCCCCTGCAGCTGGTCCTGGAGTGGCTGGTTTTTGTGGAGGGCTGGGTTTTACTGATAAGTGTGGGATCTGGAGCAGTAAAGAAGGGACTGGATCTTACTTGGGAAGAAGTAGAAGATAGTGATGCTTAATGAAAAAGGCCACCTGTGCAGTTCTTGAGGCAGGTAGAAGCTGCTGATTGTAGGAATGACACCAACATTTTTAAATGCTTTTAAGGATTCTTTTGTGGAAAAAAAAGACTATTAGCAGATGTCTCTTCTGAGTCCTTCTGAGTGCAGTCCAGTGTCTGTCTTTTTGCCTTGAACTGAGCAAAAAGTGAGCATGGGATTAGAGCGCGAGCATCTCCCCCCGCCCCACGGTGATAGAAGTGATAAACAGTAGTGATGAGAGTAAAGGTATGAGAGCACATGGGAGCAGAGAGAAGCAGTGTGTACACACTGCAGAGCAGCACTCCAGCCGCTTTCCTGATGTGTTCTCTTTGATTTCTAATGTGCTTGAGATACTCATGTGTTAGAGTTTTTCCCACCTTGAAAGTTTTTAACACTTCCTTATAAGTAGCAACCTTACTTAATCTAAAAGGCTTTTATGAATAGCATGCGGGGAACTCCAGTGTGCCTCTCCTTATGATGAGTGTCCTTTTACACAGATCATTGTTACATTCTTCATTGTTTTCTTATAATAGATTCCCACATGGAGTTACAGAGGTGGAGTTTGGCTATTTTTAGGGCCTTTGATAGGGCCTTCCTAAAGTTTTACCAGTTCACAGTCAGGCTAGAAGACAGTCTTTGTTCACTGCCCAGGTGTAGGGCACACGTCCACATTGACTTCCTTAATTCTGTTGTCTTGAATGGCTTCCCATAGGTGCTGTCTGATCTCATAGGTGGATTTTCTCATCATTTGCCTTGGCTGTCTGTGACAAATTACAACCCCTTCTCTGTTTTTGGCAGTATTTTCAAGTTCTTATTCTTTTCCCTCATGTTTTCTTCCATTGCTTTTAAGCTTTAGAAGAGCCTCTCCCAGAAATCAGATAAATCGCACTTATTTGTGTGTTTCTGTAATGTTTGGTTTGCATGCTTTCCATATTTAACTCTTCATCTGTCTGAATTTATTTGGTATTTTTGGGAGGTAAAGATCTGGTTGGTTTTAGTCTCTTTTTTTCTGGTACCTAACTTGTTGTTTAGGTGCGACAGAAATTCACAATGTTTCCCCTTTTCCAGGGTAGCTGAATCCAGCTGACCCTCTGAAGGGAGGCTCCTAGGAAGGCCCAGGAAGCCAGGCCTGGTGGAGAGGACTGGCTAATTTTGAGTTCAAGGATGCCCTGTGTTTCTGGAACCTTTCCCCTGTGGCACTCAGACACCGTGTACTGTGGTCTTTGTCCTCTGCTGTGTGGCTAAAAGGTGCTGGGTGTGGAGAGACATGAAGAGGCTGGATGCCTGACAAGCCCACATCTCCTTGTTTGTCTGCTGTGGGCTCAGCTCTTGGAAAGTCCAGATCCTGGCTGGTGCTGCCATTCACTTGGACAAACCTCTGAGCATTCAGCCTCAACAGCTTCTCCAGCTTTGTTTTAAGTTTGAACAATGAGAGCTTAAGTCCGTTGGCTCACCTGTCGTGAAGCCTAAGTGAGGTAAGTGAGAATTTTGAGTCATGTTGCATACTGGCCTTTCCAAAACAGTGCTAGCATCAGTTTGAATCTTAAGTGCTAGGAGTTTGAAGTGTACCATCCTTTCATCTCCATGGGAGAACAGTGACAAAATGTCCTGCCATCTCGGAGGGGGTGCACAGGAGAAACCATGCACTCTGGGCCTGCTGGCATGCGGTGCCTGACCCTGATGTCCATGAGGGTAAGAGAGGCGGCAGCAGTGTCTTGGACTTGGACTTGGGCGCCAGGTGCAGAGGAGCTGACATCTTCGTTTTATTCTCTGGTGGCAGAGTCTGCATTTTGCACCTGGTCCTGAGACTCATTTTCTCTCATCTTCCACCTCATGAAGAAAGTGCCCCCACTTTCCTCATTTCCAGTGTGCTGACAGGTGCTCTGGATTCAGCTCAGCTGCCTTTGGTTTTTCTTCTTATGAGTTGTCAGGCCCAAGCCAGGAAGCCATGAGAGCCTGATTTCCATGTGGAAGTCAGATGGGGAGGTGGAGGCTCAAAACATCTCAGGGATGCACCCTTCTTCCTGCCCCTCCTTGCATACAGGCAAAGGACCTGACGTCTGGGGCTTTGGAAATGAGTTCTGCCTCTGCCTTTTAGTGCTGAGACACATGCCTCCTTTGGTCTTTGGTGTTCTGTTATGCAAGGTCAGGTAAGAAGATGTGTTCTACAGCCTGTTACCTCAGCATGCAGCAGGTGATCACTGAGGATCACTGATTCCTTGCTCTTCCAGGAGGAAGTTCAGGTTCTTGCTCTTTTGGTGCTGTATAAGGGAACTATGATTGCACCTGCACACCTTTTGTTAGAGAATAGTGGGACATACCTGACCCCAGCCGTCTGCAAAGGATGCCCTGTTGCTGGGCACTTTGACATTAAGTCTAGCATTGTAGGATTCATGAGAATCCAAAGGCCTTCAGCCCAGTCTCTCCCTGATGTGAGTTCCAGTAGGTGTGTGGCTGCCTTGACGTCTGACCCATAGCCCAGATTCTCAGTCATGGCAGAGAACTGTTAACAGGTAATGTTCTGCTGTGAGGTACCATTAGAGCCGTTAGAACTTGCTTATGGCCCTGCAGGAACTTGGAGGTACATGAGGGGCAGAAGACAAGGCTAGTGCCTCTCTGCAAAGGAAGTGTCACTCACCTGATCCCTGGTCATCCAGCAAGAACAGACCAGGAGCTGGCCTTCCAGCCCCTTCCCGTGAGGTCCCATCTGTTCTTGGAAGCATAGGGAAGCGAGGTGTTGGCAGGGTAGGGTCAGAGCACCTGCCAGCAGCAGGTCCTTCCCAAGGGAAGAAACATGCCTTAAAACCAAAGGTGGACCCTTCTGTACTCAGCCTCTGTTTTAAAGTCACTTCCTTGCGAGGCCCCAGTGTTACTTGGAGGAGGCTAGATGAAGCTTGTTGGATCTGAATGGGTTCTGGACAGTGTGGGCCTCGTGGAGAGACTCCTTCTGTCTTTCTGCCTGGCACTCCATCACAGAGCCTCATGCAGACTGAATTGTGGAGGCCAGTCCTGAATCATTCTGTGGTCAGGCCTGGTGTCCTGGATAGCAGAGGGCCTGCTGCCCAAAGGGACCTCCGTTGGGGTGGCCTTTTACCTGACACCACTAAGGGAGCTTGCTGGGAGTTCTTGGCTGGGCAGCCCCAAGGGGGAAGTGTGAATCATTTCGTTATGCAGGAGGGTGTTCACTTTTCACGAGTCCTCCTGGTTCTTGCCTCATGGAGCATCAGGACATGACCTGCACAGACCGCTCTATGTCTTATCACAGGCTTTTTGAATGGCTAGCTCAATCGCAACTCCACCAGCTGCCCACGTGAAAAGGAATGAGGGGGAAGTAGGCCTTGGCCCAGCAGTGATGCTGCATGTGGTTCAGCTCTTATTTCCTGTCATTAGTGAAAGTTGAGATACAGTCTCCTTTGACTTCTTTTCCCCCCCTTTTACCTTTTTCTCCTTGGATTTTGTTCAGTGATGATGGAATAGCAACATGCACCCCATTGTCATTACTTGCCTTTTACCACCCTCTGCTTGTAGGCCCTCATCCTTGCCAGGGGCATGGGGACGCAGTGCCCAGCATCTCAGGGTTTATAGTCTGACCAGGCTTCTGGCAGCTACTGCCTCCATCTGAACCCCTGTCCTCTCATCTCATGAGGAGGGGTTTGTTGATCCCTGTCTCACAGCTGCATTTTTAAATGTGGAACTTTGGGTGAGAACAGCAAGGTTGATTGCTGAGTCAAAGAGTCCTTGTTGTAGTGTGGAAGCCAGCTGCTCTTTGCTGCATGTTTGTCCTTTTTGATGAGACATTCACTGTCTTGGTGTCTGTCCATCTTCCATGCTGTACCAGCCAGGATGAGACTGTGTTCTGGGCTGAGACAGTGTGCCATGGAGTGGACTTTGAGTATTGGCCTCCTTCAGCAGCCCTGTGAGAAGCCCATGCAGGCTGGTCCTGTGCCTGGAAGAGATGGGCTTACTAACTTACGTGCCACAGAAGCAGGTGTGAAAGAGACTGCTTTTCCCAGCATTCAGGAAGACTGGGACAAATACAAAATTAAAATAAAGCCAAAATAACTGCATGCTAGGGAGGTTCCTTCTCATCAGACTGGGGTCCCCAGTGAGAGCACTTGCAGATTGTGGGCTCTTCTAGGTAGAGAGGGGTGGGCCTCCCCCGCCCCCTGCTCCATCATTGTGGAAGCAGACAGCACACTGCAAGGCCCCTTTTACTTTTCAGCTTCTGCATGGAAAGGATGCCTGGACTCCTGCGTGGATCTGTACGGCAGATCCCCGCTTTCTTGGAATGATTACTAATTGCTGCTGGGCACTTCTGACCTGTGCCACTACCCAGACTGGCCAAATGTGTTCTTTTCCACTCCTATTAGGGCAGGCCTTTCCAAGGACAGTGTTTGAGGAGAGCAAGGGAGTGGTAGGGTTCTAGGGAAAGTAAAAGAAGCACATTGAACCTGATGTTCCAATGCGTGTGGGTGAGGGGAGGTGGGCACAGGATGGGTTTAGGGAGCTGTGGGCTTCTTACAGCTGTTTCTTCACCTGAGATTACTTTGGTTTCTGGAAACTGTGCTTCTCTGGGTCATTGTGGAAATTTCTACTCAACATGAGGCTCTTTAAGCTCCGAAGTCTTTAACTGGAGATGCACAGGCTCACAGAACTGCAGAGCATTGGAAAGAACCAAAGGGATCGATCTGTCCAGCTTTCTTTAGACCTGGGTGACTGACACCCGGGCCCACAGAGGTTGTGCTTGGTTGCCAAACAAGAGCCATCTGCTGGGGGCACCGTCCCACAGGGCTTCTCTGGCCTCTCTCCGCACCTCACTCCTTTATCCTTCTCCAGGTAAGCCTTTTAGCTGCCAGGAGGAGGAAGGCAGACACAGGCAGTAGGTTTGGGCCTGGTGAGTTCATCCCACAATCCCACACTCATATTTACAGATGGTTGAGAGTAAACTGAACTGCAGTCTCTGCTGGGGTGTGTCTGAAAAGAGTAGTGTGCTGGGAGGTTTGGCCAAGGTCTTGTTTGATTTCCACCCCTGCCACTGCCTGGCTGTGCCACCCTGTGCATGGCTTTTACCTCTGGACAGCACTGCCAGGTGGCCATGATTGGCCTCTGCCCTTCTAAGGAAATGCTTCCTCTTTGAAGACACAACCTGTTACTATAGAGATTCGGCATCAGATCTGGAAGTGAGTGGTGGTGCTCGGGAAGATACCCCCCCATCTCGCCTGGGTCTCCTGGAAGAACCACACTTTGAGGCTTTTCTGCAGTGTGTTCTGGCTTTCTCTTCCCCCATGCTGCATTCTGCAGGTGGCAAGGAATCCTACATCCTGTTTCTTCCAGCCTTCCTCCTCACCCCCTTCCCCTGGCTTCCGGGAATGGCTGTGTTCCACTCAGCGAAGTGAATTGTCTGAGTCACTCAGCTTATGGAAAACGACATAGCATGTGTCTTTACACAGCTCAGTTACATGGCGTTTGCATGTGTTTGCAGGACCCTTCCTCATCGCCAAATGATAGTGTTGAAGGGAAGTTTGCTTTCTGACGGAGCAGTGTCTTGTCTCCATCCTCCCTTGAATGTGCGTGTGTTGGACAAAGCACAGCTGGACAGGAATGCACGGGAATGGGGCGAGGGTGCTCTACACGTGATTTCAAGGGTCTCTGAGTGAGCGTGAGTCAGGTTGCCCACAGGAGACTGGGGGAACTGATTTATGTGGAAACGTTGGCACCATTTGTTGGCAGTGTATCTCAGAGTCCTAATATTAGAGCTGGAAGAAGTGACCTTGTGGTCATCTCAGACACACAAAAGGAAGCCGCACTGGCTCTGGTACAGTCCCTGGCTGTGTTTGTTCCTTTCTTTTAAATTTGTAAAAAGTGTGGGAAAACACACGCCATAATACTTAACACCTCACCCATCTTTACAGGCAGTTCACGGCATGAAGCCCGTCTTTATGGCTGTGAGACACCACCTTCCAACCCCAAAGCTCTCCATCTTGCAGATCCGAGCCCCTACCCCATTAAACACTAACCCTTTCTTCCCCTCCCAGCCTGGCAGCCTGCCCCTCCCCCCTTCCTGTCTCCATGGGCCTCGTGTGTGTGGAATCATATGTTTCCTCCTTTTCTGACAGGTGGGGTTCACCTAGCACAGTGTCCACAAGGTTCATCTATTGTAGCACATGTCAAATTGCCTTTCTTTTTGAGGCTGAATGATATTCCATTGTGTGGATCTGCACATTTTGTTTATCTGTCATTGCTGGTGGGTACTTGACTTGCTATTGTGAGTAGTGCCATTGTGCCCTTGGGGGTACAGAGCCTCTTTAGGACCTTACTTCTGCTCTTTAGGTATATTTGCAGAAGAACTGGGTGGTGATCTGTTGTGCTTGGTATTTGTGTCATTTGGGCAGGAAAGCCTTCACACTGCTCAGCCACAGGCACTGCTGTGGACAGGAGGTGGGAGGAGAAGGTGCTGCAAAAGGAAGCACCCATG